ATTCAGCTATCCCCTTGATTTCTTGCCGCTCTTGCGGTTTCTCATTCCATAAACCCTATTCGCAGAAACGTTGAACACAACAATTCTATCATTTTTCATAAGATTTGTCTGCGATTCAAAAATGTTCCATAATGTAACCTTACAAATGTTACTCAGACAATAGGAGATGGTTATCAACCTGTTAATGTATTACTAATCCAATCCTGGTCTCTGGCCGTTCGCCCTCAAAAGTGATTAGAATCGGGAAAAGTGCGATATTTCCTAAGGGCTACCAATCCATTGCTGTAATATTTTTCTGTCGCTCATTCACAAATTTCGCAGCCAAAAATATATTTCTGTAAACGACGGTATAGTCTCTGTACTTCGATTTATCCATAGTGTCCTTTCACAGGTCATCAGCTGTTATGATGTCCAATCGGGAGCTTAAACGTCACCATCGTGACGTTCAAGCTCTGACACTGGACGGATTGGACGACACTAACAGGTGATTTGCGTCAACATACTATGTTTACATCAAAGTATAGTTTGTGGATACCGGTGAATGGAACTCCATTCGATTTTTGAACTGTCCGAAAGCCGCCGCACAGTTGCGCACGTTTCGGCCGTCTTACTGTGACCTTCCTCGTGGCAAAATACTCTATTTGCTTATGCTCGCACTTTACAGGGAGGGAAGACGGCCGAAACGTTGTCAAATGCGCCTCTCAGGCAACCAAAACCCATGGGCTCTAGCCGCCTACACTTTCCATTTAAAACTTATATTGCACAGGCCCAAACTCTTCTAGCCATTTTGCAAATTAATTTTGTATTACATAACTTAGTGTCAAAGTAAGGGGTAAAAGTAAAAATAAATCAAATTTGATTTTTTCTATGGGTTTCAAAGGTTTCAAATAATTGCCACATTAATATAAGAAAACATTAAATGAACCTGGATTTGAAATTCATCTTCCTCCTGAAAAGTTGTTATTTTTTTCTTTTACTTTTACACCAAACCACAACAGATAGATTTGTGAGCATTAAATTTTGTTATATTTCCTTTCTTCTACAATAGTTCTTACCACTTTTTTAAGAACTCACTTTTGTTTAATGGACAACAATCCACAATGTAGAAATGATGCTACAAAAAAATTTATAATGCCTTTGACAAATTGAAAACAATTTTTTAAAAGTATTATGTGCAAAAGTTACAACTTATTATTTACAGAGTATATTTGCTTTAATTAAATATTTTCAGAGCGCCTCATAGTAATAGTCGAAACATCCTATACTTCAACGCATTACAAGAGCGATAATGATGTTGCTATATTTGTAAAATAATCCTTGAATATACTTTATTAGAGTTAATTTTCTCCATACAGATCACATGGTACCTTAAGAAATTAACACCTTTGAGAATTCTAGTCTTCAATTAGAACTGCATTCAAAAATTATCTTGAGAACAAAAACTTTCCCCCCATAAAACTGTGTTTGCCTTATATCAAGCAGGAATTTCTTATAAGTTCTGATTTAGGGAGTCATTTACTAGATTTTAAGTTTCCATATCTTTTACCTATAAAGACTACCTTCAATTTCTTAAGAATCAAAGTGGGGAAAAAAAAAGGGGGGGGGGAATTATAACTAACAGTTCTTTATAGGGGATCTTCAAAAAGCACACATTGCAATTTCCAAAAAAGAGTCCTTATAAAAATACTGCATAGCGGCCTGAAGCGAATGACACACTCAACAGTGCAATAGTTTAAGCCTAAAGTATGTTTAGCAGGAAATTTTTTAAATTAATACAGCTCAAGATTTGTATCTGCAATTAAAAATAAAGTAAGCTTCAAACTTCACAATAAAGTATTAATTTATTATTTTCATTATAATCAGTGGTCAACTGATCAGAAACTAATTCAGGCTACACACTTTTTCTCTACAGATGGTGTAAAAGCAGCAGGTACAAACCTATACATCAAATCTGATATCATATAAATATTTCAGATTTGATAAACCTTTATTTGAGCTCATTAAAACAATTGTGTATATACTACTCATGGCTTAGTCTGTGAAATTTGAGATGCCTTCAATATTTTTTAAAAAGTAAAATCTTTATAAATGTTATATAGTATGACAAAGTCAAAAAGAATAATGGATTATTCAGAAAAGAAAAAAGTATGCAATGTATAATAGAAGTTTTGCCTGTAGCATTTTCACGCAATTTCAAAATGGCAAGTTGAAAAAAATACTTTTGTTACTCTGGGACTTCGTTACTTCTCAGTATATTTCCTGCAGTAACAGTTCATTTAAAATATAAATAAATACTTTTTAAAAAAGTAATAATTTTGCCATAGGTAATTAACAGGTTATTTCACAATATAACTTTACTAAAACGTACGTTGTAAATAACTAACATTTATTCAGATTGCACTGCAAAGAAAGGCGAACAATAAAACTAACGAAACAATAAACATAACAGAAGGCAATGCAAATATTTAAAAATGCAATGATTAAAGGAAAGTATTTTGAAGGAAAAGGAAAAGTATTTTGTTCGTAAGTTTTTAATATAGATTATGAATTTGTATTCTTGTCCATCTAATTTTCTCATATTCATTCTCCATTTTTTTTTTAATTTTTGCTACCACCTAATTTGTTATAAAAGCAGTTAATTTGTATTTGCTTTTGTTACAAAAGCTCTCAAATTGTTTCCAAACATTTTCTATTGTTCATTGTTACTTGGTTTAAATTCGTAAATAATTTAGTCTGTCTTATCATTCATTGCCGAATCAAACAGTTTTTTAAAATTTATTTCATTTGTTGATTTCTAAATACAATTTCCTAACCTTGAACTATACATGATAATATACCTTACAAGATATGTTTCCACACACATAAAAAAACTATTTCTAGAAGTCCACAAGTTCTCTTATTTGGACTTAGACACACTTGAAATTCACTCCACAAATTTAAAAAAGTATGTTACCAATCAAAAATACTTTTGGGCTGGTAAAGCAATTTGTAGACTAATGTGTTCAGAATGAGGAACAACTGCATTTGTTGGTATAGTAAAGAATTGTTTTCTGGTGTTGATAATACTGATAATAATGAAATGCAAAACAGCAAAGCTGTTGTGAGTAGGAAAACTCTTAAAACCTAGCACAAGAGAAATTTAGATATGAAAAAGGGATGTATGATCTCCAAAACAGCAATCTAAAAGTTATGGAGGGAGAACATCTTAATTTCAAAGAAAGAAAATTAAATGAAATTTACTTGCATTATCTGGAATTGTCCACTTTTATATTAACTCCATTTAAATGAATAATTTGCTTCAATGCCCCTTCTTCTTAACATACAGCATAATAACAACAAAATAATAGCTAATTATCGATTTTATTAACACTGATAAGCAAGATTTTTTTATTTAGATTATTTTTTCATACCAGGTAAAAATTTTAGATATTTGAAAAAAGGACCAGAAATTTTGTGGTGGTAGCACATATCTTGTGGTAATCCATGTGGTAAAGGAAATAATCTCCACAAAGTTTTAATAAATTTTTATCGATAATTTTCCGGAGAAGAGGAAACCTCTCTCTCATTCCAAAAGATGGCTGCCACCTAGCTGTAACCAGCAGGTTTTCCTGTTTTCATGTTTTTTGACACAGTGTGAAAATTCATGGGAGAGCCACGTTGTTTGGACAAGATCCACTGAGAATGGGAAAAGTGTTTTCCCGAAAGTTAACTCTGGAAAATTATTAAAACTTTTGTGGAGATTATTTCCTTTACCATATTAAGGACCAGAAAATTGAAGAGCTCAGTATAACAATGGGGCTTCCCCACATTGACCTAGTTCTGAGACGTAAAGGATTTTACTAGAACTTTCATAAAATAACTCTGAAACCAAGGATCGGTAAAATCTTACCATGGAACAAGAAACCATGGAATGTTTTTCATACATATCAAGGCAACTTTCTGCAAATAATGAGAAACAAAATTAGCATCTCATTAGTTTTTGGGGGCACAGCAATAGCTCTTGTTTCACTAACATTGGTTCTGTCCTTTAAATACCTTCTCTGGCGAGAAAAAGACTTAATTAGATCAAATATATATGCATTTTGAGTATTATAATTCTTCAGTTTATAGAAATCAAAAGTCACAGCTTTTTTTTTATCATTTGAAAGTGACATAAATGTAAAATTGTAAACATTCTCTTTGGCAAGGGTTAATGTCGAAGCGCAGTTTGGCTGGCACAAACTTTTTGTTTCTATTCCTCGCCTTCTTTTTAATATTTTCATTTGTTTTCCGGATATATTTTCCTTTTATTTGACCTTCAAATTTTTAATCATTTTTGTAAAATCTACAATAATTTTTTTAATCTATTTTTTGGTGACTCGTGTGATATAAATCACTTGATTTAAATAATTTAAAATCTCTTGCTAAGAAATTATTGGAAGATTAAAATTGGGCTAAGAATATGTGCAAAGGTTCTGTAGAAACGGTTATTAGATTTACGATTTTTTTGTACCATTATAATTTTCCATTTATTAAAACACAAATGACTTAACAAAAAAATATTCACATCATTAACTATTTTTACAACTTTTTGTAATCAAGAGAATAATTCCTGATTATACTGAACAGTCAACAGTACATATTCGAATTAGACATATTCATTAACCACCAATTGACCCCTTCAAAATTAAATGGGGCCCCTGGGAGTTGATATCAACCCTGTATGATGTATACTTGTCACAGTCACATTAGAAGAAGCACAGCCTTCTGATCAACATTTACAATTTATGAAATCTAATCTACTGCAAACAAGATACAAAATTGGGTATGACGCAAAGTGCTTTTGTATCATATTCAAATCCCTGATATACAAAATAAACGGAAGTATCTAATTACGTTTAGAACTCTGCTTTCTAAACTAAAATTACATAATACATTATATTTATAATAGTAAACATTTTCATTATTATATCATGTATAAGTTATAAGTAATGTAAGTATACAAATAGGAGATAATGTACCTTGACGAGCACTGGGTGGTTGAAATGCCATGTTATTGAGCTTTACCATCCGTTTCCTGAAACATCCAAAGATATTAGTATGTAAAGTCCTCAAAGAAAGACGACAATACAATAATAACATTAAAATGCTAAAAGGCACGAAACGCTCACTCACTCATCAGTATTTTGGATTATAACCGATTAGCCATAGACCAAATAAGAGTTTCGGGAGTAAGTACACACTATTTTGAGAAATTAAAGTCTGAAATTCCGATAAATGATTTTTTTAACACGCACTACTATACTAAAGTACACGTCTCCTACCACACGCAAGCTAGATTGATTACCAAGGTTTCCACGTCCACAGCAGTCGCCACACAGAACACCGATGATTTCCGAGTGATGAAGCCTGCACTGCCTGACCAGTCTCCTCCAGTCCTCACTCAGAAAGAACGTCCGGACACAGCATAACACGTGCGTACAGCAAATGGCAATCCACAACAATCACAACTTCACTCAGTAGCGCGTTCTACCCTCCTCGTTTAAATGATAAGTGGTGTGGGTAAACGACAGCAGAGAGCAGTGCGGAGCAAATACCCATAGTGCCTATACCCAAAGTGCTTACAACTCCTGCTACTATGAGGCGCAACTCTCGATACAACTACTATAATAATGCTGTCAGTTTGAACTCGCGGACCGTGTGACTAAAAGGATAATCACTAGGGAGAGGATGTTAATGCCATAAAATCTTGAAATATGCACTTTAATATGCAATCAAAGTAAACAATATTTAATTTCCTTTATCAACCTTTCTTGCTAAAAATCAGAAGGAGAAGGAATATCATATA